AATCACCATGAAAGCAGAACATTATTCTATACTTCTCCCGATCGCTAGCATTACCCTCAATTTGTTTAAAAAAATGTATATTGAAAAAAAGCTATATTTATAAAGAATATAGACAGGCCAGACGGCCTGGTGTTTTAAGCGGCCTGCCTGGCCTGGCTGAGGGGTCGGCCTGGCCTAAAAAACGTGGCCTGTGCCTGTGACAGGCAGGCAGGCAGGCCTAGTGGCCTGGTTGGACCTCTGCTACCCAGTCAGACAAAAATTTTGAAAACCGCGTTTAAACGCATAATCGGGAACCGCGATTGTAAGCCATTAACGCTCATTAAAAAAACGCACGAAAACGCGTTTATTGGCGTTTTTTGTAACTTCATGGGCGTTAAAACGGCGACAATTCCAGTTTTTGAGCGTTAAAGCGCACTATTATTCTAGAACTTAAAAATAATACGTTTTAACGCTCCAAAATTGGGGTTTTCGCCGTTTTAACGTCCATAAAGTTACAAAAAACGCCAACAAACGCGTTTTCGTGCGTTCTTTTAATGAGCATTAATGGCTTACAATCGCGGTTCCCGATTGTGCGTTTAAACGCGTTTTTCAAAATTTTTGTCTGACTGGGTAAGATAACTTTAAAAGTAGAACGTGTCTTCCTCAAGATAATCGATTTCTAAGTCGACTCGAATATTAAAAGATTGATAAGAAAAATCAAGGCTCAGTCTATCGAATCTACTAATACAGTTAAAATATTAACAACTTTGTTTATTTTTTTATATCTGAATCAATAGTTTTTCAATTCTTCTCTGCAGAAAAGTCATTCACATTGTTCGCCTACATTTAGGTATGGGTAATCGAGAATCTGATCAAATGAAATTTTTGCAAATCCAACTTGATAATGTTAAACAAGAGAGTACACGTGTTGATGAACAAATCACAACAATGAATCATCAATGTAAACAATATCAAAATCAAATGGAGGTTTGTTTCGACTTTTATATATTTTCTCTTAATTTTCTATTTTCATAGCAACTTCGTCGTCAACTTAATCAACTTGAACAAGATGCTAAAAATAAAAAACCAGCAAAGTAAAGGAAAAAAAAGCTTTTAAAATTCTTTAACACCATCATTTTACTTGTTTAGCAAAGTTACATTGCCCACAACAGCTCTTCGTGAGTATATCTTTGTGTTGTTTGTGCTCTAATTTTTTTTTTGTGTGTTGCTTAATAAAATTCTCAGCCAATTATGATCAATTTCGTGCTACCAACGATTTCAATGCTCAATCTCATTCGTTTCCTGTAGCTTCTTCATCTAGTGCTATTGATGTCGATCCATTTAAAACAGTCGATCCATTTGCTTCTCAATCTGATATAGGTTCATCAACAACAATAACAAATAATGATTGGTTTCAATCACCAAATAATGGAATAACAAAAACTGATCCATTTGATTCTAAAACTGATATATCTCCAAAACCTAAAAAAACTGCGCCTAAAGCAAATATTAAACAAACACCAGCAGTTGATCCATGGGGTGGATCAACAACAACATCTAATAATAATATAAGCTCACCATTTGGCACAACAAATGAATGGCCACAATCATTATCAACTATTTCAAATGGAAATTCTTCATCTGGTTAGAAAAACTTTAAGAAATATAAATTGAAAAAAAATGTTAGTTTTTTTTTTTTTTATTATTTAGGTACTATTCAGTATCGAGCGTTATATGATTATGCACCTCAACGTTCGGATGAATTAGCCATGTTAGCTGGAGATATTATAACGGTAAGTTAATCGATTATCTTTTATTTTAAAATAAGAAATAAAAGAAAATAATATTTAGAAAATATCCAAAGAGGCAAGTTTTGTTTTCTTTTTGCGAAAATTAAGCATGATAGTGGATTTTCTTTCTGTATTTTAAGCATGTTTTATTTTTCTTCATCTCATGCACATCTAGTTCAATTGACACAAATGATTGAATTAATTCTTCTTGTTTTGTGAAACACGTTCTAAAAGGAATGTTGACATATAACGACAAACATTTGAATCCTTTCTTTCATTGAGACCGTAACAGATGTAACTATGGAAACATGACAAACGTTGCTGATAGTTAATCGCAGATTATATATCAATAAAGTCTCGTTATAATAGGGTGAACTATTTCCTTATATTGAATTTTTTAGAAGATTAAGTAAAAGAATAATGAAAAAAATGTGTTCCTATGATTAACTCGAGAAGTTACATCGTGTTTCACAATTTAGTATCTGAAAGTTTTCGCTAACAGCTGTTATTTTCTTTTTTCAAGGTTGATTTAACACAAAAACAACAAGATGAAAATTGGTTATTTGGAAAAATTGGAAATGATAAACAAGGATTTTTTCCAACTGCTTATGTTGAACGTGTGCCGTAAGTAAAAAACAATAAAAAATCTAATTTTGTTCAAAGAGTTTTTATGATGTTATAGATCAACATCTTCGTCTGCTAATGGAAATTCTGTTGATACAACTTCACTATTAATGGTATGATAAAAATAATTTATTTATTTTTAATTGAATTTATGATTTTTTTTCTTTTAGTCTGGATCATGGGTGATGACATTAGCAGACTATCAAGGCAAAACAGTTGATAAACATTTATCATTTCAAAAAGGTGAACTTATTCTTGTACGTGAACAAAAAGATGCTGCTTGGTATAGTGGACAACTTCGTGGAAAAGTAATCAGATTTAAAGAAAAAAAAAATACTTGCTGAAGGAAGATTTTTGTTTTGTGTTTAGGTTGGTTGGTTTCCAAGAAATTATGTTAGACCAGCAACTGAAGTGGAAATACAAAATAATAAAAATACGACTAAGTAAGTAGATTTCTATTGGACAATATCCATGAATAACTTTTGTAATTATCAATGATAATTTGATGAATAGTAGAGAGTATTTCAAAAGTTCGCTAAAAACTAAAACTTGAATATTTCTTCAGTAATTCAATCGACTCGCAAGCTTCTTTCTTCATTTACAGTGGGGACCAATTGAATTTCCCCCCTTTGTTTTTTTTGTTTTTTATTACTATACTTCTTTTGTTTATTAACCCACTATATATAGGAAGAAAGTCCGGAACGCGCTGCATCTTTTGGTATATTTATGCT